AAAACTTTTAGGTTGGTATTATGCAATGGTAATATCCTTGTGGTTAAAGAAGTAGCATCAATATTTAAACATACTGCATCTTAATTTCAGTCTAATACCAAGCTTAGTATCAACCATCAGGCTTCATCATTAATATTGCTTAGTCCCAAATTCTGGGGTAATGCTGTACTGAATAATCCTTATTCAATTCAATCTATTAAACACATTCAACAAAATAAAATGATTTTAGGAAAATGGCAAGTTTGCTTTGTAAAGCATCAACATTAGTTCTCTTTACATTTTGCAGTCTAGGCCTAAACAAGCGTAGTAATTAATAAACATAAAATTACACAAACCAGGATGTTTTCCTGTATGACAGGTACATTCAGGACTAAGGATCTACATCATTCAGTTGTTATAGGAATCATGTAAGTGAAAGTACATAAAAGATCTCTGAAAAAAATGGGAAACACTTAAAAATTTTAAGGGATCACCATTATGACAATATGAATCTGATTACCTGACATTTTAACCTTGTCCCTTCACTGATTTTTTTGTTAAAAAGAAATCAAAAAACAAAAATCTTCCAAGTCAAACAATTAGCTTGTAAAATCTAACTCACTGTTTCTCATGAATTCAAATCAGCTTCCCCCACTTCTGAACATTTGTTTTGTTTTTGAAAAAGACTCTTTACAATACAGAAGTCTTGTAGTTAACATCCTTTTGCAATATAGCTTCCTAGATTTGTATACAGTGCAGTGAAGACTATATAAGATCTATATTATCTTTCATCTCAAAATTAAATTTAAGGACTATTAGCTCAGAAAATGCAGACATTTCTCTTGCGTAGACCTTAAGGCAGCTTCCGCAGCTAACTCCAGACCAATATATGTGAATTCCTAATGAACATTGATTCTATACAAGTACTGGAATAACTGCAGATATATGGGTTTATGTGCACTGCACCAAGGTGAACATGAGGAAAAGGAAATCATAAATCACAATGAAAACAGAGAGATGAACTGGGCAGAGTAGAAAGATAAAGTTAAAGTGGTCTAACTGCTGAAGTAAAATCAGAGGACACTTCAAAAGCTCAATTCCATTTGAAAGAGACCACTACATTCCATAATGTCATCCAGAAATGTCTTAATGTCTGACCCCATGTCACTTGAGACTGCGGATGTCTGTGGACTTTACTGCCAGAGACAGGGATCTGAGAGGCTAGTGGGTGTTTTACTGCTCAATGTTATCCACATGGAAATTGTTGACCTTATTGCCTAAAATGAGTGCTCTAAAGAGTCTCAATTCTCAATGCCCTTCTCAGTGCTCTCAACACTCAATTCTTTGCCAAGTAGAAGCTGCATTAATTCAGTACTGAGCCATTTGCACCAACAGAAAGTGGACTGACTTGACCCGGTCAGCCAACTCAACACCAGTAAGTTGGTGGCATGATTGATAGAAAGTGAACATGTCACAAACTGCTGCTGAAGCACTCTCCAAAAATCTGCTACTGTTGCAGGAATGAAAAATAAGTCAAAGAAAAGAACATCGAGTAGAAGAATATTTTTTTAAACTCCTTAACAGCAGTAAGTCTGAGATGAGACTTTAAACTAATTAAATGAGAGACATTACATTCTACTATTCTTTTGATGTGAATGTTTCTTAAAAGGTATCTTAATAAGATTTTAAAATGAAGTAGGAAGACTGCCTGCCTCTTAAAATGTCACTCTCTATGAGGGCTTTCTCCTAGTGATTAGTGACTCAAGCTTAAACTAAAAACATATCCTTATTAAGCACTCAGATTTTTTTTAAATAGTAAGTTTGTGGGGATTTGGGCTTCTTATTTAAAACTGAATAAATAAATCTTGAAGCTTAATCACAAAGTTTATGTATCAACTGTACCACTCTAACTGAATATGAGATAAAATTGAAAATATTACATTTGAGAGAAATTTCCTATTTGGAGAGCTTGAACAAAATTGTCTGAAAGAATACATGAAGAATAATTTTGCCCACTAGTCAGAAAATAATTCTCATAGAAGATAAAGAAAAGAAATATGTGTGATTACTTAAATCTTGATTTTTTTTTTGATTCAATAGCTTCTCTCTTCCACAAGTAGAAAGAAACTTAAGGATAAAAACAAATGGCCAACTATACTTTGCAAGAAAAGGACAAAAATTTAGTGGACTCTACAGCAAAGGAGCTTCACTTATGAATTTATTGTTTAGCTTTTTCTCTCCTGATTATAGGATAAAAAAAAATCAGAATGAAACATTTCTAGGAAAAAAACCAGCATTTGGTGCAAGTATTATTTCATCAGCACGGGGAGTTCCTTCACCTTCCTAGATCTCAACTCCTTTAAAATACACAAGATGGTCTTTGAAGTTCTGTGGCTGAAAAACGCACAGCTCTAAGGCAAATCTGATTATAAGTTTCCTCCTCAACTTTTAACTAGGCTATTCAGATAAGTGACATATAGATGTGTCACTAGACCTTTACGTAAATCCTTTCCAGTTTGAAAGGAGGTGCCAGAGCTTGTGTCATGCTGGCACAACTCTGAAAAAGGAAAGTTATTTGCACATCACGGTGAGACATCAAAGGTGAGCTTCAGTGAAATGCACTCCATAAAGTGCTGGACTTAAGATCCAGGAAGATCTGAGTTCTAATCCTTCCTTGGAAACTTCTTAGCTGTGTAACCATGGGCAAGTCACTTCACTTCTTCTCATCTCAAATTTGCCATCTGTAAAATGACCATAAAAACAGTACCTGCCTCACAGGATGGTTGTGAGGATCAAATAATAACAATGCACGTAAAGCTCTGGGCAAACATTACAGGGCTATATGAATAGTAGCTGTCACATTATTATTAGTGAATATGAAATTGCAAATACCTAAGATAGTAGTAATATATATATATATATATATATATATATATATATATATACACACACAAATTATTATTCTAAATAGTCTGTAACTACTTCCAAGAGGCTTGCAGGCCTATGACAAGTTTCATTCCCAATCTAGAAAGCCAAACAGGAGTAATTTAAAGCAATTTTGGTTTTTTTTGAAACAAAAGTTTCTTTTAATTTACCAAAGAAAATAAAAGCTACAGCAAATGCAGTTAATTCTCAGTTATCTTGACAAAGATACAAGACCATAGAATCAAAATCAGCAGATAAACTAAAAGTAATTTAGAATTACAGAATGTTAAAACTGAAAGGAATCTTAGAAACCGAATTATGTCCTACACCTTAATTGTTACACAAGCAACATGAAGCCCAAAGAGATAATTACTTGTCCTAGGTCACTAAGCTTAAGACTTATACCCAGAATTTCTGATTCAAACTTGGCATTTTTTCCACTACACTACCCCTGCTATTTCATTTTGGGAGACATAGCTGATGTTCTAAGATTTCAGAGTATATGTCAAGCATAATAACTTCAAATATAAAGACTATGAAATCACAACTTGGTAGTAATAATTCTCTCTACCCCGTCAAGAGTTGAGCAATAAAAAGCTAAACTATTTACCACTCCCTATTCCAAATTGTAAACAGACAACACCACCTCTGAGATCAATATGAACAACAATTCCAAGTAAAACTGTTCCCTTCCCTGCCCTCTCCCTTCTCAATCTCTCTCTAGTAGCTCATTTTTCAGATGTAGGTATGCCCTAGAGACCAAGAACTACTACACAAGAAAAAAAGCATTTCCTGGTGGCTGAGTGAGGTGGAAGAACTCAAGTTTCCTTCCCTTCCAGTTCCTGTCACACAACAGCTACAGGCAGAAAACAAAAGAAATGATCAAGTCAATAGTGATAATAAAAAGGAATGATAATTTTGAAAATAATTTAAAAGTGAAAAGTCCAATCAGTGCACAATCAGGTCACTTCTTTATCCACAACATCTCTCACAGACATCTCCTTTCTTCTACTCCCACAGCCACCACCCTACTTCAGGCCCTCCTCATCTCTCATCTAAACAAAAATCTCTCATCTAGAGCCAAAGTCTCACACTCACTCTCCCGATCTCAAGTGTCTCTCCACTCCAAATCATCCTCCACACAACTGCCAAAGTACCTTTACTAATGTATAATATCTCATGTCACATGCCCCATATACAATAAATTCCATTAGTTCTCTATCATTTACAGGGTCAAATGTAAATTTCTCTGTTTGGCAATTAAACCTCTTCACAATCCAACTTCTTCCTATCTTTCTGATCAATCCAGCTATACAGGCCCACTTATTACTTCACAAATACAATGCTTCATCTTCTATCACCACGCCTTTGCATTGACTGCTTTATGGTCTTTCTCCCTGGGTCCAGGGCTACAAAATTTCTAGCTTCCTTCCAGAGTCAGCTCACTGATCACCTTTTGCTGGAGATTTTTCTTGGTTTTGCAGCTGCTATTGCCTTCTTCTCTAAGGTTACTCTTTGTCTCCTGTGTATCTTCTATGTAGCAGTATACTTGTTATTTCCCCTATAAGAATGTAAACTCCTTAAGGGAAAGGACTGGTTTTTTTCTTCTCGGTAACCTCAGTGCTTAGCAGAAAGACAGGCACATAGTAAGTACTTAATAAATCCCTTGGTGGTTGTTAATTCACAATACAGATGACATGCTTGATGATTAGAAAAGATAACTATACAGAATGGAACTCTGGATTTCTGTAACAGTTTATAATACTGATGAAAAATAAATACAACCCTTAGGTTCCAGGTACACTTCCAATTCAGCCCTTGATATTACAAAGTGAAGGTGTTTCTACTGTATGCATATCAAGTCACAGAACATAAAATGAAAAGTTCAAATGAGTTAGTCACTTGTCAATTACTATGTAAATCATATTTTTAAAGTGATATTTTAATTACCCAAATTTTCATTTGAAATATAAAAACTTTTCTCTCCTGTTAACAATCAGAAACAAACTAAATTTTATCTATTATGTATTATCTATACCTTTTCAGTTTCTAAAGCTGAAATGTCAAATCAATTACATAATAAAATTCAACTTTACCTTGTTTAATCTGTCCTTGCACAACATTACTGGAAGTCGGAGGGGAACCCTTCATTTTAGAAAAGTCTGGAGTGCTTGGCCTAGGTGGCCTTTAAAAAAAACATATATATATAATATAGTTAAACTTAATGGTAGTAAACAAATTACATTTTAAATATTTATGGCATTTAAAAGAATAAATATATAGAATGTTTTAAAATTTACTGTAATAAAAATTTAAATACAGTAAGCCACTCCCTCCCAAAAAAAATGGACCAAATGCTGACAAAATGCATATTTGGCATATAGAACATTTGTTTTGTCTGTAAGCCTAAAACCTAGTTAAGATAGTCCAAAACATTATCACTGATTATATAATGCCCATCACAAGGCATATACAGGAAAATACTTAAACATTTAAAAGTTCTTAAAGCCCTACCATCCAAGAGTATAGCTCTATTAGGATAGTACACTGCCAACCACAGTTAAAAAAAGAGGGAGGGGGGAGATAGAGAGTGACGGAGACAGAGAGGCAGAGGCATTGTGGTATACTAACAGAGAGTTGGTTTCAAAGACTGAAACATAGGGGTTCAAGCCCTACCTACCACACATAAAGGCTGTGTGACTCTGGAAAAATCACTCAACCTCACAGGGCTTGAAGCAACTCTCTAAGAGAAAGTTTCCAGTCTGTAGTGGTACAAAGTTTCCTTATCCTAGAGTTACCTATACTCATGAAATCACAGGAAATCCTTCAGTCTTCAAATTAATAAAATGAAAATTTTAGATCAGCTTGTAGAGGACAGAAGAACAAAAGCAGGGTTTGAGAAGTCAGGTTATGGTTTTTTTTTAATAACTTCAGGAAATATGAAGTCACCATTTAGTCTTAATGTTCTGGTGGCATTGACAGAGAGCTCCACTGCATATAAAAAGCTTTTTTCCCCAAAAGAGCTTTTAGTACTCCTAAATAAATTCCTAATTATTGCACTAAAGCATTAGTATACTTTATACAAAAATCTAAAGCAAATCATTGAACAGGCAAAGATACACAATAAAAGCAATCATGCTAACGAGATTTAGCATCCTGAATTGAATTTTAGAGGAAACATTTAGCAGGCAGGAATTCCATGGATAGTATTTAATAAAGAGCTGACCTCGAAATGTCATTATAAATAAAATCTACAGCTAAAATCTATTCTCTACTATATCAATCTCTTCCATATCCATGTTGCTATTTTAGTTGGTATAACTTTGTTCTATTTGCTCTTACAACCTGAGGAAAATAATACTATATAAAGAACATACTAAAAGAATTCCTTATGTACATGTCTCTACATAGCATAGAAAACAAGAAGTACTAATCAGAGACAAAGTGGACCTTAAAAAAAAAAAGCACAAAATTAATTACAACAAATGAAATTAAATCAATCAATTATTGTCACACCTGACAGGGCCCTTCTTCATATGATCACCAATAAAAGTTGCATTGGTCATACTCATTAAAGTATTTGCCAAAGATATAATAGACAGAAGGTGCTGAGTGGTGACAGCCCGGGATACTCCATAGGTTCCTTTTCCTACTCCCTCAGTGGCTGAGAGTTTTCTTTCCCCTTCAGGTTTTCCACAGGATGCCTTACATACAGGCTGGTTATGACCAGGAAGCATCAATGACATATGGCCTCCTCTTGACAAAAGACCAAAGGAGACTGTGCAGTGGGGTTTAAGCATTCCAAGGCGGTCAAGACAAACTTCATCTAGAACTTCATTCAGACCCCAGGCATGAAGACAGGACATAAACAACTTTGCAGTATCCATTGTTAGATTATACTCTAATAAAGTCAATGGCTTAGATTTGCTAGATCGGTACTCTGGATCACTTTCTTCTCTCTTCTGCCTCAGTATCTCCTCATCCTCATCTTCGTCATCAAGGAGATGTTCCTTTATGTTCTCTTTGATTGTTTCTTTGACTTGTTGGAAGAGTACGGCTGCTCTTTTGCCAGTCAGGAAAGAGCCCCCTTTGTCAGCACTGCCAGATGCTTTATGCAAACTCTCTGGGGAAATAAGGGCAGTATTCGGCCTAGAGGCTTCTTCAGTCAGTAGCTGAATAATCAAAGCTTCCACATCAAAGAAGAGCACATGTATGTCCGGATCTGTTAGGTTAGTCTTTATTGCTTGAACCATCAGAGAATTATGAGAATACTTAGGTAAATTTCCCTGCAATAAATATTTTTAAGAGACAGTTATAATTAAAGCATCTTTTCATGTCATTAATATATCAAATCAAACAAATACTAAAAATAAGAAATTTGAAAATGCATTAAACTAGTTTATTTAGAAAACCGTAAATATATGCCAACTTCCCCAATATTTGGTTACTGAGATGTAGACTTAAGAGATATAGAAAATGCTATGCTCAAACATAAGCTGAACACAGAAGAATTCCCAATTCCTACGAAGGTGGCCAAGAATCAAATTCTTCAGAAAGTCCTTCATTATGAGTTGAAAACAAAAAGAAACTGAAGTACTATATATGTAGGTATGTATGTGTGTGTATATATATATACACATATATATACAATGTTACCTTAACATTTCTCATAATACTTACATAACTACAGGAAATAACTTAATTGTACCCTACACATAGAGAAAAATAGAGAAAGTGTACTATAACTGTGTTCACACTACAAATCAGTCATGAAAGTAACCAAGATTTTCTGAATTTCATTCTTCTAATAAGCTCAAATTAGTACTGAAAAAGAAATAATTTCTAGAATCTTAATTTACCAAGAAACAACCCAAACTTAGTCTTCATTAATAATTACTTTCAGAAGTCAAGGACAGATAAACCCAAGATTATTTTGGCCTACAATTAGTCATTGCACATGTATATATGTGTGCACATACAGCTGTTCAGGCATATATATCACCATCTGGCAGAGCTATTAAAGACACATGAGGCACTCAAATAATTGTTGAACTAACTATATATGTATAATATAGGCATACACACAGCAGCATACATAGGTCACAATTAAAGATCTACATCATTTTGTTAACAAGCTAATTTTAAGTCAGGCATGGTGGCATGCTAGGAGGCAAGGCTAGTAGATGGCTTGAACTCAGAAGTTCTGAACCGCAGTAAGGCTAAAGCCAATCAAGCATCTATATAAAAGCTGACACCAATATGTAGTGAGCCTTTGTGGGGCTAGGAAGCCACCAGGCTGCCTAAGGAGAGACAAACTAGCCCAGACTGGAAATGGAGCAGGTCAAAGTGTCTGTGTCAGGGGCAGGTAACCTGCAGCCTCAAGGCCACAGTTTCCCCACCCCTGGTCTGTGCTAATCAGTAGTGGGATCAGGACCCTAACTGAGTCTATACCTTCAGCCTAGGCAAGATGAGAAGACTCATTCATTCATTCAATCAGTCAGTCAGTCAGTCATCTGATCAGAAATGAATAGACAAATGGATAAGTGAATGAAGATAAATAAAAACAAGATGATCTTGACATAAGGTAGAACATTTATTGTCAACATGAAGTTCAAAAGAAGAAAAGCATATCTGCAAGTTGCAATGGATATAGTTTTGGTTTTTTTTCCCTAACATTCAAAATTCTTTTCAGGGTAAAAGAATAAAAATATCTATATTGCTAAAAACTTTTTGTTTATAATAAAGACTCAAATTCCTCCTAAAAATTATTGACAAAGCAAGAATGACTGAGAAGGTGGAGGTTTATGGACAAAACAGCTGAAGATATAGGTAATCTTCAGAACTGTTTGTTCTACTCTCCTCCCTGTCCCCCCCCCCCCCCCCGTTCACTCCTCTCAACTGTTCCAGGTTTGCCAATCATTCTTTTAAGAGGCCAACCTCTCTTCACTAAGACCCAACAGACCCATCCATGTGCCAAGATACCTGAAAGGTTGTCTAGTGTACTAAGATCCTCATATGTGCATATGATTGTCCAAAACTCCTCTTATTTATATTCCTGAGGGCTTAGAACAAAATCTAGCTGTGATATACAGCGTCTTCATTAAAAGAAGTAGCACAGTACAGAGGGAAGAGCACCAGACACAGAACTCAAAAACCAGAGATGATAATGATAATGATGATGGTATAGCATTTACACAGCACTTAACTATGTGTAAGGCGTTGCACTGGCATAGGACCACCCAGCATGGCATGCCCACATCAAAGAAAGAAAGCACTGTGCTCTATGAGCAAAGCAGAATTGCAGTAGCTCCAAGAAACGTGAGATGTGCAAATTCAGAGACATCTCCACTCCAAATATTCATATGGACTATATGTGCCCAACCTGTGGAAGAGTCTTCCAAACTCGTTTGATCAGCAACAGTCAGACACATAGTTGGGGTACACTGACCCTGACATCATGATGTCATTTTGGTGCCCTTTGAGGACAAAGAACAACAATGAAAACATGAACTATGTGCAAGTCAAGGTGTTATAAAACACTTTACAAATATTATCTCATTTGATCTACACAATAACCCTGGAAGGTAGGTATAGTATTATCCAGATTTTATAGTTGAGGAAACTGAGGCAGAGGTTAAGTGACAGCCTAAGGTCACATAGCTAATAAGTGTCTGAGGTAGGACTTGAACTCAGGTCTTTCTGGATTCAGGCCCAGTGCTCTATCCACTTCATCACCACAGCTCTACCATTTGTGTGACCTTGGGTAAGTCATTCAACCTCCCCAGGCCTCAGTTTGCTCATCTGAAAAAATCAAGAAAACAATATTGAAATGATTCATGTATCATCATATAGTAGATAAGACTGCTGGACTTGGACCCAGGAATTACTGGGTTCAAATCCTACCTCTCCCCGTAACTAGCTATGTGTCCAGAGACAAACCTCATAATCTGTTTGAGCCTTAGTTTCCTTTTTCATAAAATTGTGATGATACCATAGTATGTTTTGAGACTCAAATGTCATAATGTTTGCAAAATACTTTGTAAATCTTAAAGTCCCATATGTATTAACTATGACTATTACCCAACTCATAGATTTTAGACAGCATTTTGTAAACCACAAAATGCTATATAAATGTAAGCTCTACATTCTCTACATTTTATCCACACTGCTCTACTGGTTATTTCTGATACACAATATTTGATCTCCCACCTCCAAGGCTTTGTATAGACTTACACCTGGAGTATACTCACTTGCTCTCTCATGCTCTCCTCCCATCCCCAAACCCCACTTAATGATACACCTACTGGAATCACTAGCTTCTTTCCAAGTTTGGCTCAGGTGAAATCTACATGAACTCTTTCCTGATCTCCACTCAAGTTATTACTATTCACACAAAAATTATTTCTTATTTATTTTTCTACATTATACTTACTCATCTCATGCTCCCTTCACACTTACTCATCTGCCTCTCTCCTTCTACCAATACTGACAAAAATATAAGCTGTTTGAACGCAGGGATTATTGATTTTATCTCTGTATCCATGACACCTAGCATAATGCTCTGCATATAGCAGGTACTTAATAAATGCCCCAGAAACTAAACTATTATTATTACCACTCTGTTTGGCTGAAGCCAAAGGACTGCCCTTTCTAAAAAGAAATGAAATATAATAGAAAAGGCCCTAGGCTGTAGTCTAGAAGGAGTCAGAAAAACCTGGGTATTGTCCTTTTTCTAATAATAAATCACTTGACCTCAGACAAGTCACTTCCCTCTCTAGGCCTCAGTTTTTCTTATCTTTTAAATTAGAGGGTTAGAATAGATGATTTTTAAGTTCACTTCCATTCTAAAAGGCTAGGTATATTCCCTCATGAAAGCCTTTCAAATTTATGAATACTGATCCCATAACTAGCTCCTTCCTCTGACTTCTATTTCCCTCATTATAGGCACCAGGCTATTTTCTAAGTTAACTTCTCCTGTTAGGGGGCAGCTAGGTGGCACAGTGGATAGAGCACTGGCCCTGGATTCAGGAGGACCTGAGTTCAAATCCGGCCTCAGACCAAACACTTGACACTTACTAGCTGTGTGACTCTGGGCAAGTCACTTAACCTCAATTGCCTTTAAAAAAAAAATGTTGACGTTGAACCTCTCCTGTTGAGGTCTTGGGGGATAGACAGATGATATCTAGCAATTTTTAAAGAGTTCCTTCAGGACCAAAGAAAGGATCTGGATTTTCTTTGGATTTTACTTGTATATGGAAAAAATGGTCAATGAATAAATGTTAAAATATCATTCTACAACTCCAAAGTATATGTTACAAATCACAAAAGTCATATATCACGTAAAGTGATAGTTGAGACACATAGTGGTCACCAGGTCACATTCCCAACATATTAGAATGACAATACTATAACTGTCTGACATTGGCCAAGATTGCTTTCACGCTAGAATGAGAAGGGAAGTGAAAAATATGTCAGACTATGGGAAGAGGCAATCGTACTTAGCTCTACATACATTATATGTTTCTGAATCTTATGAATTCACTGAAGTCATTTTGCATCTAAAAAACCCGCCCAGATCTATCTATCCAATAAAAGCACTGCATAATTTTAATAAAGACATTAGAATCTTGGTTTTGCCCCACCTTAGTGGTTACTTCTACTGTGCTTGTTTTGAACAATCAATTGATTAATCAACAATTTATTAGTGTTTACTACGTATCAGGAAATAAGTACTGGAGATACACAAAGACAGAGAAACAGTCCCAGAAGACAATACGTCCATAGACATATGCATACATAATATAAACAAAATGAATACAAGATAATTTTGGTAGGGAGAATACTACCAGTTGAGGGTGGGTAGAAGTTGAAGGGAGTCAGGAAAAGGTTCATCTAAAAGGAGACACATGAGTTGATTCTTGAAATAAACCAAGGATTTCAGGAGATTTCAGTGAAGAGGAACTGCATTGCAGGTCAGAGAGTCAGCCAATGCAATGGGCACAGAGATAGGCTTTGAGTGTGGAACAGAACAATATGATTGGATCAAAGTGTATAGGGAGGGAAGTAAGGTTTAAAGAAACCATAAGGTAAAAAGAGGCCAAGTTGTGATAAAGATTAGGGACAAAATTTAAAAATTCTCTTTTAAATACCACATAGACTTTGATAAGATACAGGATACAAAAAAAAAATCTGTGGATTATAACCACAGATGCACAAATACACAACACACACATACCCACACACACACGCACAAGCACACACACACAGTATGCACCCAAAAAAAGGT